TAACGTCGTATGTGCTCAAAACAATAGACGCATTCAAATTACCCCCAGTGTTTTATTTCAATCATATTTTCCATTATTAAAAATACTGGAGTTGTTTGAGTAGTTTTTTTGTAGTTCTAAATGTAAACGGCTCGCTTGCCTTGGAAAAAACAATAATGATCGTAGAAAAATAATTAAACGCCAAACATGAAATATAAAAAGTTATCGCTGACAGCCGTTGACCGCGCATAAATCGTATAAAATCATAATATATATGATGTTTAATTAGGTATGCAAGTAGGAAGTACATAAGATAACTGAACACAACATTTACAAGTAATATTGTTTTAAGTTCAATTCATTATCAGGTCGGATGGACCAATGTAATAGTTTCACTTTTAATTGTACATGTTTAATTAAGAGTGTATAACTCGATTGAAAACATCGTTTTAACTAATTGAAATCGAAAAGTCATATATAAAAATAATTATGGTAAGTTGTATGTCCTTGGGAAGATAAGACTCGCAGAAAACATCGTTGGATTTTTAATCTTCAGTTTTTTTTTTAGATAGCAGATAAAATTTGTCTATACGCTCACACGTGCATTTTTTTTTTTATGCACATCAAAGCACCTTTGAACATGTTGTGGCGACTTGACTCCCATTCGTCGTCTTGAAGCTTATAGGGTTTAAAGTACACTCGAAATTAATGACGAAAAAGTCCCCATCGTTTTATCTCTCGAAATGATGATGTGTGTGTACGTTCAAATCGATGGATCATTAATTTTAGTGTACACTATCGATAGTCCTTCACGTACGTTTTCACTAAGTACGTTTATTCATTCATATTATTAGTTTTCAGTACTCGTAGATGTGCTGCGAAAGGCAGTAGATCGAACATGGTAAAAATTATGATACAAGCAATGTGTATCTACCTAAACTGCCAGCGGTGTAAAGACAACCGGTACACACATCTTTACTCAAATTTCTTTTTTCAGGTAGTCGGCCGTTTTTTAGCTCGCCCCCTTGCCCTTCTTTTTCTATTATACTCGTCACACAAAGAGGGTTGCCGGATACCCTCCCCGCCAATGTCCTACAAGCACCCCAGTTCAGATTCGCATCTCAACGCTACCTAACCGAGGATTATGATCGAAAATATATCGGTTTTTTTTTGTTCAATGGAAACATACATTGTCAAGGGTATGCCTACGAAATTCATCATATTCTTGTAGACCTGTCGGTTTCAACGCGGTAGATCTACAGGATTATTTTGTACTTTTTCGCGACATCCAAACGATAAGGATGTTTTGATATCTAATGTTAAATATTATCCGGCAAACCATAATTGGATTACCCTTTTGTCGACAGTTGTACATTAAATTCTAGAGGAATGACTGTAAATGAACCGAATCGTATGTGTGCACACACACACACACGCGACATTATTTAAACTCTTATGAGCATTCGCAGTATTACAATAAATTATTCTATAATAACATTGTACACGGATGCAACGATTATTTATTTATGTACATTATTTAAAAATAAATATTGACTATAATATTTTATATTATTATGACTGTTATTTGCACAGTGTTAATTTAAGCAGTAAAAAGTTTACATAAATATTTTTGGAATTGCTACAGATTCTGCTTTGTTTTTTGTGTGTGAAAACTTTTTACCCCATACCCCCGATATCTTATGTCCGAGTCCCCGATGACGACTTTGACCGGAAATTTCACACGGACCGTGTTCCCATCATCGCCGCGATGCTATGAAAACAAAAACGAGCCCCTAAGTAACCTGTAGGTGAAAAACTAAAAGAATACGACTACGTCCAACCCCAATATAAGTGAAAATACCCACGACAATATCCTGTACGTGCGCTTCGTTATGCCGATTGATTTACAGTTTATGGTTCTCATACACTTTTGTTCGCATTAACAGTGGCAGCGACACACGTTCAACGATTTAACCAAAATATATCATAAACAAAGTATAGAATAAGTAGACCGATTTTATTGCGAACATTTATTGGATTTGAATCAACTCTACCGTAAACAGACCCCTCTCAATCAGTTTACCTTCACTTTTTTATTGTATATTTTATGCGCTGCTAAATATTTGTTAACAAACGAACAGTTTGGCACTTGTGCTGCACCGCTTGTGTACAAGAAAAATAATACTAATAAGCTTCATTACTTTATTATATTTATACGTAAAAACTTTTTTCTGCCTTATGAACAAATAAACAACAGAATCTCTACAGTGCAGAAGACTACATCCTCCATTAAATCCGAATTATCTCTATTCGTATGCCAAAATTAAGACAGACATATGCACATAATATACATGTTAAGTCTAAGTTCATTAACCGCTGTATAAATCTAAACTGGTTTAATGTTTTCGAACAATCCAGGTATAATAATAATTAGCGAAAATCATTAATTATAACATACTTGCAAATTCAATTGCTACAGCTAATAAATACTTATACTAATTGCAATTATTCACGATCTCAATAGAACTCTACACGATTCACGGAACTTATAATTTATAAAGACAAATATTTGCAATTTTTCGTTATAGATCATAAGTATATAAACATATATTTTAGTTGTAAAATACGAGTCTTATATTCTATATATATAAATAATAACAGGTTTAAAGGCTATTAGTTTTTACAATTATTTTTACGGTCATATCTTAACTTGCAAAATATCTTATACTTACAATAACTGTCAGTATAGATTATGAATTTTATGAGTTCACTTAATAGCATAATATAATTAATAATATCATTCATTAAGTATATTAACTGAGTATTATGTTTGGAAATTTTTATTGTTAGTTATTTACAAAAAATAATAATTCATAAAAATTTTGTTCTTCGTAGTTTTACATTAATGAATACGTATGATTTTATTGTATGTATTAATCAAATTATAATATTTAATGAAGTAAAGTACTGATTTTATAATATTTAAACTTTTTAGAATGATTGTTGGTGCTTAATAAAAATCAACATCAAAAAATTGTTTTGATTTATTTATTAAATTAACTAAAAAACAGGCTATTTGAAAAAAAAATGTGTGGATTAAAAAAACGTTTTATACAAGTATACATTTTATTTTATTTTTAAACAAAATATTATTAGTTACATTTTTTTTTTTGACGTACACCTTGTCATACGTTAAATTAAAAACCATCCCCAAGTATTTCGGTTACATGCATAGCAGCATTAACACTTGTAATGGTCCCAGGACAGTTCCTTGAGATGAACTCCATCTCAAGAAAATATAGCTTTCATAAAAACGTAATGAATAAAAGGAAAATAATGTCATTTTTATTTTAAATTTACCTTGGTAGGTTGAGTTTGAATGAGCCCCGGGGCGCTCGTTTTTCACCTAGTCCCCTTTAAAATTAGCCCTGATTACATATTTTTTTATAGGAGCAACATTCATGTTCAGGATTTTTTAATACCATAACAAAAACTATCCTGTTTCTCATACTTGTTGAGCCTATATATAGCGAAACACATAAACTTTATTGACACTAATGATATTTAAAAATATGATTTGCCACTTAAATGACTTAACCTAACCTAACATGACTTGCATTTTGTTTTTCAAATTCTGAAAGTATAAAAATTAGCTCTAAAAGTGCATATAGATGCTGTATAAGATGCAATTATCGGTAATGTAATTCAACATATATAGTCTTGTATAATTATAAATGGTTTAACGAATATGACTGACGTGTACAACAAACATCTCAGTACTCTCATACTTTTTATGTATTGTTATTAATCATCATATTAATAAATAATGTAAAATTGATCGATACTTACTTGTCAAATACTAAAAAATAATAATTTTTATTGACGATTCAAATGCAATAGACTCTCAATAGTTATTTAATTCATTATGAATAATTGTGGGATTCATAAATACAATAATATCAGCAACAATACATCATTGTGCAAAGGTTTAAAGTATAAAACACATATCCGCGGTGCATTTAAAAAAAAAACGTTACGTTCCATTTAATAGGTATGCAACAGTTATTATTCATACGTAATTTGAATGCAAGTTCAACGTACTTTCGTGAGGAAACTATGTGTTATTCATTTTCAGGCTCAATATTGTACGAGTGTAATTATACAGGAACTATAAAATATCTGCTGAATAAAACATTTAAACGGGTGCAGAATGGGTTATAATTATTATGTACTAAATAGCAAATACTTAAATACACTTTCGTAATCACGAGCAATTAAAAACGTGGATCAAAGCTTCAGCAATAATTATAACTATCTAATTAATTGAGAAATGTATGCAACGTGCATTTACACACACAAGTCGTCTTTAAATAATCGTAATCTACAATTGCAATGAGTACACTAAACATAAAAGTTGAACAGGTTACAATTTGTTATTATTCAGCAAATAAGTTATTTCTAAATGAATACAACCAGAAGGAAGTAATTAAATAATAAAAATAAAATACTTTTACGCTTATAAAAGTTTTATTCACACATTTTATAAATCTTTAATCTCTGTTGAGTTTATATTTTTTAATTATTTAAAATATTATTAATACTCGAGTTTACTTTGTTTTTCTACAAAAATTGCGGTTGTAAATATTTTTAACGTGTCTTTATACTACTGCACTCTCTGAAAATATCTACACATTTTTAAATATACATTTAAAAGTTAAAATTTTCTTATTTTATTACCGTTTTTTTTTTTTAATAATAATCAAATTTTAATAAAGCCATATATTTTTATAATTTCATTTAATTACGAGCATTTATGATAACAATAATGTTTATGGTTCATTTATAAACACATTACGGTTAAAAGTAATTTCAAGAAGATTACATTTAAAAAACTTATATTAATGACAAATATTTAATGATTAATTAATTGATTTCAAGCAAACCTCGCATCGCATAATAAATTATCATAGATAGTTCATAACAATTGTACAGTAATAAACTAATAGACACTAAACCTCGATTAATAATACTACTAATAACAGAATGAAATAATGTCGAAGAGATTGTGTTGAGAGTAACACAATATATATAATATAAAATAATCTATAATAAAATGCCGAGGAAATATTATACGGATAATAATATTCACACGAGTAATGAAGAAGAGTTCAGACAGCACTAAAGACATAATGAGTTTAATAAGGTAGTAGGTAAAATCGAAATAAGAGTTATCCGTGTTAACTAATGTAATCAACCTCAAAATAAATAATTCGGTCCTCTCAGCTTGTTGGTTTTATTTTTAATGGTTTTATAGACGATATATTACTATCATAATGAGTCTGCTAGACCCGAGTTCTTATAACAATTCGCGATTAATTAATTAATTTTATTATTCTAGCGGCATCCCATGCTATTACGAGGCTCGTACGATCGTAATAATTATTTCTAGTTTTTTATGAATAAATTTACATTTTATATAATGTCTACGGTCGACTGTGTATTCAATAGCGTAGAAAGTACTGTTGACTAACGAGTGCATTATCACTGGAATTCTCGGCGATGGCGCCTTGCCGAAGATTATTATTATCTTTGTAGCGAGTCACAGCTTCCATAACGATTAACAGTAACGTCTTTGCCGTTTTTAGCTTTGAACACCATGAAAAGCTTCCGCTATTCTTTCAACTATAAACTAGATGAATTGTAATAAAACAATCATCTGGAAGTACTGCACACTAGTCATTTGCTTATTCTAAATCTATTTTAACTTATAATAAAAAATAATTCAATATTTTTAATAACAACCGAGAATACCTACAATGTACTGTATAATTTGCTCTGTTAATTGTTCCCCTCCAATAATACGTAATGATCCAAGAGACACGTCTTGGTAATATATTCCATATAATCAAGTTGTCCGTTAAAAATTGTAAAAAATAATGTTGGTAAGTTCCATGTTATACAATTTTTCACACTTCTAAGTGGATTACCAAAACCTGCAAGATAAACGTACCAAAATTATGCGAGCATGAATAAAATTAAACGTGTGTTGACATTTTAGATACCAGTTTTGGTGTCAAGCTACTTACAATAATCAAATTCATTTTCGAAGTTTACAATTGAGTTAGTATTGGTTGTTAAAAAAATATTTCAAAAACGATTGATATACATTTATAGTTTTATCAAATATATATATATTTGTTATTGCATTAATGAATGCGAAAAAAATTTTTTGTTGTGTAAGTCGAATAATTAAAGTTAAATTACATCATTATAAAATAAATTTATTAGATTAATAAAAAATACCCTGTACTTATAAACTCTCTGAGAAATGTCCTAAATTATTTTAACGTGCCTATTCAGTCTTAGAATATTAAATAATGAACAAAAGTGTAACTATATAAATTATGTTAATTCATTAATTAAAAAAAAAATAATTATATTTTTTATAGCTCCTTAGTATGACCTTCAATTTTCAGGCGTAATCCTTTCTCAAAACATTTTTGAGCTATTACTTTGATTACTATTTGATATTAATTATTGAAATTATATTTTTACATTTAACGAGAACATATAGTTATCTCATATTAAAATTAATATAATACACAAAAAATAAACATTTTATTAATACAGGGCAACCAATAATGAAATGTTTAGGGCTAATTCCAAATTAAGCTCTTTATATTTTTTACAATATGTTAATTAAATAATTAAATCATTTTAAAAAATTAAAAGATAATTTTTGATTTTTTAAAATTTTTTACTATTACTTGATGATGTTAATAAAAATGTGTGCAAAAATAATTCTTATCAGTAAAATTTAACTGATTTTATATAGAGTTTTAAATTTGAGAAAAAATATACGTTAAACTCAAAAATTCGGAAAAATTACAAATTTAATTTTAAGTCTTTTTTTTAGTAAGCTTGAAACTATAAATTTAACAGCCTTATGTATTTTTGTCGCTTAATACAATGGAGCAATTAGATGCCGTATGACAATGATTTCATGATTTAGTCGAGTTTTTGTTTTCAAAACTGAGTGATCAATTAAAATTTGCAAAATATTTTTACTTTTTATTTACAATTAGATGAATAAATAAGTAATTTAGTGTCACCAGCCAAATCTAATTGAGTCATTATGTTAGGGTCAAAAAATATAAAATTATTTTTTTAATTGATTTTTTTAAGCTCACAAAAAAAAACTGTACTAAAAAAAGACTTATACATTTAAAATTGTAATATTTTTGAGAATTTTTGAGCTTTACGTATATTTTTCTCATAATTAATCCAAAATTGGTACAGTGAATAGTTTAGTTTTTTCCCTAAAAAATGTCTATCAAACTCAAATTTAAAGGCCTATAAAACAGTTAAACATAACTGATAAGTCATAAATTTTACACAATTTTTTTTTAACATTATCAAAATAATACTAGGAAAGATTTTTTTTTTATGGCTACTAAACATATTATTATTACTCAAACAGAAATTAACAACTGGCACAGTACCGCAGCAGTATTGGATCAATAATGGCATATGACTGGGATAATAACGTTTTACGTACTGGAGGTTTTTTTTTAATCAGTAAGATGCCAGTACTCTGCTAAAATAGCAACCAAGTACTGTCGTCCAATACTGTACTTAGACAAGATGCCAGCTAGTATTACGCTAAAACAGGCTAGCCAATGGTCAGTTACCAGTACTGGTACAATGCTTCGCCCATTATTAATACTGGTATTTAAGAAAATTTCTGATCTATATTTCAAAGTTTTTTATTTTTTATGAAGATTTAGTTATACCTTAATTAATATCGAGTAATATATATATATATATATGAAAGAAAACATTTGAAACCAGAAATCATGGTAAAAATACCATACTGAACTTCATCTACATAATTATTGTGCCCAGCAAAATGGTTGATGTCCTATGTAATTGTATAACCAATGAAGTCTAAAAGGTAATTAACAGATGAATAATTTTTGAGTTTACACATTATTATGTTCATTACACATTTAACTTTAAAAACTATACTTAAACTCAATAGCCTTCTAACATTTGTATTATATTATCATAAGAATACAAAAATGAGCTTAATAAAATATGATAGTACATTTTCGATGATTGAGATAAAAATATGTTAAAGACTTGTTAAAAATGTCGAATAATATAATCTCCCGACAATTGACAAACAAAGTGCTTGCACACCATACATGCAAATTAGTTCAAAGTATAAACTTCTACATGAAAAGCTTTTTTGGCTTGCGTAGGAGATGTAATAACTAAATATTTTATTCAGAGACGACAGGTTTAAATTTAAAAATGCTTTTGAACTATTTAAAGTTTTCTGTTTCGTTATTTTTCTCGGCATCTGCACCTTGTTGGCAGATATTTGATTTTTAAAAAAGTGTAAGTAATTAGCATTAATGTGCGAAGTACAATGATAAAAATAACATGTCGGTATTGCATGACACCGGAAAACGATAAAGCCAACGCAGCTGGTTTAATATTTTCAGCGTTCCATTTTCAAATGTGAAACATATTAACGTAAGACATATAAACATCTAAGAAAATGCAAATTACAGCGATTTTGATGCAAAATTATTTTAGCAGCATTACAAATATTACACAGGACAACAGCCATTTTGCTATTTACAATATACAGGTGAAGAATTACATATGGAATTTTAGGACTAATTTCGAATTGGGCTCTTCAAATTTACATATTAGTAATTAAACTTTAATTACGCATTATATCATTATTAAAATCGAAAGAGAATTTTTATTTTTTTTAATTCTCCTAGAATAACTCGATGATGTTAATAACAAACTTGTACAAATATTAAGGCTTATCATTGAAGTTTAATTGATTTTATAAATCTTAAATAAATGGACACTTTTCAGAAAAAAAAAATTGAATTTTTTGCTGTACTTGTTTTTTGATTAAATCATAATTATAAAATACGAATATCTAGATAATTTTATGAGTTTAAAAATATAAATTTTTACAGGAAAAAATTCCTAAAAAATTCAATGTTATAATAATGAAATTGCAAATTATTAAGTCTTTTTTTTAGTACATTTTTTTTGATCTTGAAAAAATTAATTTAACAGCTTTAAAATTCAATTATATTTTTTACACAATTATTGACTCTCGTTTTTTTTTTTTGCCAATTTATTAGAGTTTCTCTGATCAAATTATTATCTTCAACATTGAACTTGTTGTCCAATGCTGAAGATTAATTCACGTTAATTGTCACTATCGGAGTTACTATTAACAGAATTTCTGATGAACATATCAGATTTGTTGACACAAATTTTACTAGAATTATATAGAAATAGTTGAAGAAATAAGCTAGAACTAGTTATTTTCTAGTAATTCTCCTAGTAATGTAGAAACAAAAATATTACACTCTATACTAAAAAGTAATAAATGTTAGATAATTTTCGCGGTTGTGTCGTCACGTTCACTCCCCTCTTTTGACTCCTGTTTATAAACTAGATTCAGAATATTCGCAGCAGTCTAATGCCACCCTCGTTTATAATTACTCGCATATGCATTCAGACTTCTTTTCAGCTGTCATATACACCCTCATCCAAACAATAGTTTTTCTATTGATACGTTATAGAAACGTTTAATGAAAATTATATTATAGCTTTATCATAAATATGTATTATATTATAAATGAATCAATTTTATTGTGTTGAATTTTTTTAGATCATAACAATACAACTTCCATCGATAAACGCATCGTATTATTTAGATTTTTTAGGTAAAATAACCAACTAGTACCATATTTTTTGAAGAAAAAAAAGATAAAATTTGTTAATATACAAGTTATATATTTTAGAATAAGAACATTCATATACACCAAGAAATTATAATATGAAATTTAATAATGTATTACTTATTTTTGTATAATTTATTAATGATCATCATGGTGTCATAATGAACAATTAAAATAGTTCAATTATTATTTTACTTAATAGTGTTTTATAATTAAACAATAATGTTCTTTAAATGTACTAATATAAGAATATATTTTGTATTTTTATGTAATCAAACATAAAATTTTATCTAGTAAACACTTATTAATTTCAATTCGAGGAAATTAATTTTTACATAAAATTATTCTGCATAATTTAAGCTTTACATGAAAGTTTAAAAATAAATTTCCATTTATTATCTGTTGATTTCACAATATTGAATATTTAACTGTGTATCAAGTTTCTCGATCATGATTGATTATTGTATTTATAATTTATTATTACTATATAAAATTAATTAATTAACTGAAAAATATAACAAAACATAATGTATATATTTATTGACAAAAAAAACTTAGTAAATTAAAAATTGACAGTATAAAAAGTAAAGCAAAACTTAACTACGAACAAAAATGATTCGTAACATTAAATTGAAATTTTTTTTTTAACTATATTCGATTTAAATAAACATGAAATCAAGTTTAAAATATTATAACTTGGTTTCTATAATCAAATTGCAAAAAAACCATCATTTTTCCTATTTTTATTTATGTGAAGGCGGTATCGTTATAACTAAATAACTATGACGACTTTATAATTTTTAGATGATCAACTTGTTTTTTATTAAAAAATAATCGTTCTTAGTTAAAAATGTATAGAGATCATACAATAAAGTATTTCGAAAAGGAAAAATGTATAATGTTGTATTACATATTTTATGTGCAGTTTATCTTAAAAACAACACTTTTTGCGGTAGTTTTCTGGAAGGAAAATTCAAGATACTTAAGTAGTTATAACATCGATTTTGAAGTGTTTTTATTATAAACTTGACTTAAATAACACATTTCAAATGTATTATATAAAAATATTAATTTATGTACTACTAATTCGATGAAAAAATATCGATTACAAAATATTTAAATGCGAATAAACTTGTGTACGTATTTACAGAATATTTATGGAGAAGTTTCTTTAGGTGGTAGATGGGAACTGTGAAAATATCAGTTTTTGGAGACGTTAGCTGGAAGAAAACAAATGAACCTCAAGACTGTAATTAAATTTAAATTTCACAAACTGGTTTTTAGTTTAACCGTAGTAATACGATTCGTACAACTGTTCAACACCTCTAATCTACCCAAAGCGATCTTGAGGCAAAATAACCTCGGAGGCTGCAAAATTCGATTCTTCGGTTTTACTATGAATTTTTTTGATATTATATCGTTGCCTTTTGAGCTATGCGTTTATAAGGGTTATATGTCATATCAGAATCCACCTATGTCTCCTTGATGATTACATTCACCGGTATATCTTGATCAGTTTTGAGTATTATATGAGGATCGCACTCTATATGTTCACTTAAGACCCGAGTTTGGCGAGGAACATCAACACCATAAACCTTTTTAAAAACACGTTTTGATTGTTCAATCGCAGAATTATAATTATGTTGGGTCATCTCGAAGTATCTTTTATGACTAACAAGAGGTATTTTTGGAAAAAATTCACATTACCGGAAAACATTAAATAATGTTTTGTTCTGTATCTATAAAATTTTAACTACAAAATAATTTGATGGAACACAAACGATTATTCAGTTTGAAATATTAAGAAATAGTCCTGATACATATTTTATTTTATTTTGCTCAAATTATTTCAATATAATTTTTAATCTACTAAGCATTTTGCCTTTTAGACATAGTTTGATGATAATTGATCACCTTTGAATTGCTAGGAACTGTGTAAATGAAGTGTATTAAGAAAATAACACAAAACTTCAAAAGGTTTTCAAACAATTAGAAATATTTATCTTAAATTTATTCACATAGCGCGAATTTTACAGCTAAAAAAGTTAGGAAACTAACTAGAATTGTTTAGTTTACGAAATGTTTGTTTATTTTCCTGAAAATTTTTAAAAAACATATTACTAGGTAACATAATTAGCTTAGAAATATAATTCATAAAAAATATCAATTTTACTAGAAAACATTCCTAATTTTAACGTTATTAAAAAGCCCATTAATGTCAAACAAATTATGTCATGTAATTAATTCAACTAAAAATCATAGTTTATCAACATAAATTTAAAGTTTAAAATTTAAATAATATTTTTCATTGCTTTATGATACCATCCACTAGGGATACCTAATAGTATTTATTGAATACTATTTTATTAAGTAAAAATATGGGCAAAATAATAGATATATACAAAGAATTTTGCAGAATTTTTATAACAATTTTTACATAATTTAAATAATTTCAGAAAATTGTAAACGACTCAAAATATTAACTTTTCTGGTTATCATCTATTTTAAGGATTTCAAATATTCAATTATATACCATTGTGATATGACTAGCATAAAAAATTTAAAATAAAATACCAAAAAATTTACATTTATTACATATACAATTTAATTTACATAATTCCTTATTTAATTAGGTTCATCGTAATGACTTTACATTATTAATTACACATTATAAGCTATTTTACACTTAAAATAATGACACAAATAAATTAACTTTTAAAAATATATATAACTATATTGTTTTATTTTGTTTAAACTATGCTGTGTAATCACAAAATAAAAACTTTTACCTTTTTTAAGTGATTACAAAGTGTAGATAATAGTGGGGTAAATTGACACTTTATATTTAATTAAAATTTAAAAAAAAAGGCTAATTCGAAACATAATTTTAATAGTTAAAAGAAAAAAGACTATGTTTTATAGTGAAATTCAAATGTTTAATATATTTTTATGCGTTATATGTTATAATATAACATATATTATGTTTATTTTGAATAAAATAATAACATAATAATTATAAAAATAATCCCCCGTGGAAAAATCATACATAATACGACGCCCATCGTCATTCTTATAAATATAGAAAGTTTTTTCTTTCACTATGAAAGTTTATTTTTTGAACGGGAATTCTTAAATAACTGATTTAATTTAAATTGCAAGGGAAGTTTAAATTGATTTTTATTAAATTTAAAAACTATCATTGTGGATCGAATTTTGAAAAATAATTAGTGTCCTAGGAATTGACTCTTTAATTTTTAATATATTTCGTACATAAGTAATAATAAAAACACATATCTTAACATAAAACATTTTCGACATAATAGGTTTGTTACGCTTATTGATAAACACAAAAATGTCATGAAATATTTAGATAACAATCATTTAATTTCAAATCAACATTTGAGAGCTTTCACCGAAAGTCAAGGGAAAAACATCTATTGATGTTATATATTGGAACTATCATTGATTGAACAGTTCTCAGTGGTACAAAAGACTATTCCACAATAATGGACACTAATACTTTACATTTGGTCACTCCATTACATTAATTGGAATTTTATTTTAGAGTACCCACATATTATGTTTATAATTTTTAAGTTAACATTTAGTACAGAGTGAATTTTTTAACGCTAACCTCTCGATTTCTCTTATAATAATAAATACGCTAAGAAAATTTATTTTCTTGGCAGCGCTGAACTGTTAAAGCTAATGAAGAAGAATAAGAAAATTTTTATTTTTGTTTCTCAGTTTCATGTATATATTAATTTATGAGTAAATATATTAATTAATTTTTGTATTAATTCCTTATATCATAGAAAGGTGTCAACATAATTTTTAAACATACGTATTTAACTAGCTTATGAAATAAAAACTTATCTAATTAAAAAAATGACTAGTTGGTAACAACTTTTGGACCAGTGCCTTAAAATTTAATAACATTTTTATACCTAGGTGGAAAAGCAATGCAGACGAGAAATTCGTGGGTATGAAAATATTCTTTTATTATCTTAGTTGTTTAAACAATTAAGTGGACACCCTTATAAAAGTATTATAAGGACGAATGAAAAAAATAATTAATAATTTATAAATCAATAAATAAATGAAATCAAAAAATAATTTTCTTAAAATAATTTTTATTTTAAAATAAATCGAGTGATTACCGTTACAAAAGTCGTACTGTACATACGTAAGTAATACAAAGTGTATAATTAAGGAAACTTTCATATGTGTACGCTGGACGTTTCATTATCTTAATTATTGGCATTTTGACTTTATTCCCCTCTACATTATGTTGTATCGAAAAAATGTTCTTAATCTTACCGTGTGGAGGATTGATTATGTGTTTTTTTTGTATTTTGTGTATTCAAGTGTGTTTATATTACTTTATATTGCCACTGGTAAGCGAACCAACGATATAATTATTCTCTAAGCTCCAAAAGACAGTCTACGATCACGTTCTAGCAGGTTGTTTTGATATAGAAGAGAATCGGAATATTTTGGAAATTTATTTTAAAAAAAAAATTATCCCTCGGTATAGATATGAAAATACATTAAAGAAAAACCGAGTACTTTAGCGCCCTGAATGACTTAATATTCACGTTGTTTGATATTGTAGATTAAGATTAATTACTTTAATTTAAAAAAATGTACACTTTTACTGTTTTAGTATTTTTTCACCTTTTATTGGACAACACTATCCAATAAAAATATTAATCATTCTACTAAAATAAAACTAGTAGAATAGTATGCATTACAACTCGGTAGGAAATTTCAATAATTATAATAACATTATAATTATTTATTACCATTAATGCATTTATTGTTGGTTACAATTAACCGAAATGACGAACACACAACTAACAGTCTTTATTATTTACATTCAGCCAGTGTGAGGCAGTGACATAACTCTGCTCAGTATAATATACACTATTTATGCCCGTCTATTACTATTGATTAACGTGTCAAATCCTTTGGCATTCTATTATGTAAAGTCATTGTAATTTTTAGCGCCTTGAAAATGTTTAAATACGGAAAAATTTTGAATTGATCATTCAAAAAATGTTAGTGGACAAAATCGTGTACACAATCAGTATTTGACGTACCAAGTGAGAAGGTCTAAAGCGAGACATGTTTTACAATGAAACATTACGCAACTATTCAAAATCATAAACCAATCAAAACAATCAGTATTAAA